AACATTGAGGTTATTTTCAAGCTTTTAACAATAAAGTTGTTTCAGGTATTCTCAAACTGGTCTTTTGTATGGACATATGTGTCTGTTTCATTTGAGCATTATTGAATGCAATTAATGGACTCTTAGTTTAAGGAGGTTTGGTGGCCTAGTTCATAGGGAGTTAGTTGATCTTTTATTATCACTGGTTCAAATATGCCAGCAGCTCTGCAGGAGAAAGGTGGGAAATCTCTTTCCATATGATTTGTAGTTGGTAGGTGCCATTGAGTTAAGTATGACTCATAGTAACCTATGAACAACAGATCTGAATGTGGACCTATCCTGTGCCATCCTCAATCTCTGACACACTTGAGCCCATTGCTGCAGTCACTTGTTAATCCATCTGTTTGTGGGGTCTTATTCTCTCTCTCTCTCTTTCCTTGTTGTGCACTATCCAGTCGGATCCAACTGTCACAAGGGGAGATTGCCCCTCCTTCTTCAGCATAGCATCTGGTGGATTTGAACCGTGCACCTTCGGGATAGCAGTGCACCTTTTTTTGCCACTAGGCCATCAAAGCTCCCATCTTACTCCCTTTTGCCAACTCTTCTCCCCTTTTCCAAGCATGATGTTCCTTTCCAAAAAATAGCATCTCCTAGCAATATGCCAAAAGTATGTGAGGTAAAGCTTCGCTATTTTGGAGAAGTCTGGGTATATCCTCTCTAAGACATATGTTATTTTGGCATTCCATAGGATAGTCAGACCTCTTCTCCAACATGATAGCTCAAAAGCATCAATTCTTAGTCTGTCATCATTATGCATTGTCCATTTCTCACATGTATATCAAGTGATTGAAAAGAACTGAATCATAACACTAAGACACTAAGGTGTCTTAGTCCTCAAACAGACATTATTACTCGGCTAAACTTGCAGAAGTCCCTGAGTGTAGACTTTCCTAGTGCTATATGTCCCCTGATTCATGTGATTTATAGCCTTGGAAATCCATGGAGGGTGTGTTATGAGTCAACTCTTACTTACCAACAAAGAATTTGAATTAATTTTTTCTTCTGTATCCCTCCCATGGTAAATGTCTCCTCAACTTTTGTCTGTTTTAAAATCAGTTTGCTTTTAATACTGAAATGCTAGTTTGTTAGTCTGGGTACAAATCCTTTAAAATGTATATTTTATAAGATTTTCCCTCTGAGTGAACCTTTCGTTTTCTGAGTAGTGTTTTTTTAAAAAAAACCCTTCAACTTTTATGGAGTTTGTTTTCCTTTATTTTTGACTCTAGAATATTGAGTCATGGTTTGGTTATGAAAGTTCATTCCTTTATTAATTATTTAAACTTGTATTGAGTACTTAGTGCTTGCCCAAAACTTTATTAAATACCAAGGCTTCAAAGGTGATTAATTCACAATCCATCCACTAAGAAGATCAAAATACCAGGTGAGATTGGCAAGTATGTGCTAAAGGTTGAGAGTTACAGCAGGTAACATAACCAAACAGAACTCAGGTCAAGTGAGACCTGCCAGTTATACCTAAACAGAATGTTAACATGTAAAACTTAGTGCTAAAACCCCAAGGACTCAACAAAACACCTATTAGTTAGTAGGCCAGTTTAGTAGAGTGGCAAGCTATAAGAGCAACATCCAAAAACCAGTGGGATTCCTCTACAGTGACAATGAATTAGCACTTATGCAGGGGGCGCATTGTATGTAAAAGGTGAGAGGTCGAAGTTCTTGTGCATTCTGGGAGCTTCCTTTTTCATATGTGATTAGTTAAATATGGATATGACACAGAATGAAAGAGATTTCCAAGAACAGAGTTAATGTGTCCAAAAAAAACCCTCTCTTGTCATCAGTATGTGTTAAAACAAACCCTCTGCCATGGAGTTGATTCTGACTCTTCGCCTATAGGGCAGAAGAGAACTGACTTATATAAAGGTTGTAAATATTTACAGAAGTTGACTGCCACATATTTCTTTTGTGAAACAACCAAAATATTTGAACCACTCACCTTTTATTTAGTAGTCTAATAAGTATTGGAACACCAAGACTCCTTTTGATATATGCTAAGACTCAGTAAACATTAGCTCAAGAGATTAGGTCTTTTATTTTTTTCTCTCTATCCTAGTCACATAAGAGCATGAGTCTTGAGAACTCATTTTCTGATCAGATTTTTCTCTGTGCCCTATCCTAACTGGGTAGATTTGAACTTCTAGCCTTTAGGTTAGTAGTATGCACCACTCAGAAACTTTTGTAATGAGTAATGTAAGAAATTAAAACAGCAGTAATCCACGTTTCCTCCATCCACTCACACCTATTCTCATTCTCTCATGATGTTCTAATTTTACTTGGTTGTAGTCATAAAGCAAAAATTTTCTCCCTAGCTGTTTTGTAAATAGTTGGTTAAAAATTGTAGGCCTTTGAAACAGCAATTTAGCTATAGACATTTGGATTGTTTCTTAGTCATCTGGATTGTGGAAACTATGCTTAAATTCCTCTGTGTAAATTTTTTCCTGTGAATTCTTAGAATTGTAAGCCTCTTAATTGAAAATAATGGAAATTGGTTCAAGCTAATTCATGCACAGAAAAAAGGATGAGTGGTATAGTATTTCTTAGAACTCAGTGTTAAGAAGTTGTCAGGAACCACTTCAGGTAAACAGTCAACCTACTTTATGGTTTTTTATTTCACCTTCTCTTGGTGCAGTGGTAATATTCTTTTTTTCTGTACAGACTTTTTCTGAGTTTCTAAGTATGAGGAAAGTGATTGCTCCATAGGACTAGAGTTTATGTTCTTCTATTCCAGGGATACACTGTTCCTTATTAGCAATCTCATACAGTCCAAACCCTGCAGGGGAGAGAATCTGGCCCCACTTGAAGTAAGTGTCTACATAAGGACTAATTAAATGTGGTTTGTATCATAGGATCCACCTTACTAAGTAAAAAGTACTACTTCTAGAGAAAGTAATGATTGTGAATGGAACCCACACTTGGATGTGTTACACATTTTTTTACACATTTTTTAAAAAAGAGTTTTTATTTAGATACTTAAAAACAATAGTTGTTTACTGTTTGATTACTTAAAAACAATACTTGTTTACTGTTTGATTATATAATCCATCACCTTTGGGCAATGTCTAATTTAGTCAGTGTTGATTGAATGCTTGCTGTACATAAGCATCATTTACAAAAGGCACTTTTGGAAATATGGGAAAGTTTATAGTAGAGCTTGTATTATCAGGAACTGCACAGTTTAATTTGATTTTTTTACCTTGGAGAAGGAATTCTTTACTAAGTGGACCTTGAATGGGCATGTTTCATATAGAGTTAGTTGCATCATACTTTGCCTGGAAATAGAATTAACATTAATGCTGATTGATTTGTGGAGCTCAGAATGAACTTACTTTGGATTTAACTCTGAAATTTCTGCCTTATGTACATCTCTTCCTATGTTGTGTAACTTAGTGTTAGGCTGTTTATCTTTTGCTAAATTTATTTTTAGGTCTCCCCTGCTCCTGTTTAGAATCTTTTATGTTAGCTAGGATACTTCAGTTAAAGTCTTTACCCTGTTCTCTATTGGAAACTTTCCATTGTTTGTTGGCTGATTTTTGATTTCCTGACTGCTAGTACCAAGGTTGTTGATTGTTGATTCCAGTAAGATGAAATCACTGACAGTTTCTGTCTTTTCTCCATCTATCATGATCGTGCCTATAAACAGTATTAGAAAGGTGAGTGGAATTGAACTGCTATTCTTAGAGTTTTGAGAAGCTAATTATTTCAGAAATGGATGGATATTCTTTCTAGTTTGTGTTAGTTTGGAATTTCCACTGAAATTGTTATGGGCAACCATATTAGTTGCTTGAAATACTGATGTCATATTTTTCAGCATCACAGTCACAGGCAAGCCACCCCAGTACAATTTACTGACAGCCAACTGGTGGGTGTGTACACTGAAATAAACAGCAGGGGTTGAGTGAGACATTCCTTCTGTCTTTTAATGCCACCTCTCAGTGAGGGTTGGCCTACTTGAAGTTTTCCTTTGTGTACAAAGGCAGACACTGAGCTTTCTGACTTCCTTCAGTAAACACTTGGGTATCTCCAGGCTCTCTCTAGCACACCTTGTGGCTGATGTGGACTGCTCTGTTACTGCTTCATGTGGGTTTGGGGAGCTAAGACAGCATATAAGTCCAGAGATAATGTCTGATAATGGTGGTGGTTGTTACGTCCTGTTGAGTCAAGTATGATTCATAGCAACCTTATGAACAGTGGATCTGAACTCCATCCACTCTATCCTGTACCATCCTCATCAACTCTGATATTTGAGCCCATTGTTGGAGTCATTGTGTTAGTTAAACTTTTGAGGGTCTTCCTCACTTATTGTGACCCTTCAGCCATCCAAGTATGATAAAATTTTCCAAGGACTAGCGCTTCCTAACAATATGCCCCAAAGTATGTGAAACAAAGATTCATCTTCCTTGCCTTTAAGGACCTCCTTGCTTACGTTTTGTGCAAAATGTACTTGTTTGTTTTGTGGTAGTCCTTGTGAAAGTCCGTTCAGTAATCTCCAAAATCACAACTTAGTGTCATAGTCTCCCTCTGTTATCCTTGGTCATTGTCTAACTTTCAGATGCATAACAAGTAATTGAATTTTGTCATCATTGCTCTTTGGCCCTTTGTATCAGCCTTTGATTTTTTGCTCAGCAGATTTTCCCACTGTGATGAGTCTTTTGATTTCTTGATTGATGGTACAAAAGTTATTGTTTGAGGAGCCCATCATGATGAAACCATTCACAACTTTAATCTCTTCTCCATCTATCATGATACTGCCTATTGGCCTAGAGGTGAGGATTTTTGTTCTTTTTATGTTAAAATTGAATCCATGTTGAAGGCAGTAGTCTTTATTCTTCTGTAGAAATGTTTCAAGTAATCTTTCAGGAAGCCAGGTGTTTTTTTTTTTTTTGTTTGTTTGTTTTTTTTAATTGTATTAAGTGACTTTATTAAGGGAAGCTAGGATTACAAAGGACTTAAGAGTTGCCATTGGGTCCCTTCTTCTTGCCAAAAGTAGGCACAACATTGACAAAACGTCGGTTGTACTGCATGCGCCGCTTAGCTCGGCCAGTCTTTTTCTTCTTCTTCTCCTGTTTGGCCACCTTGGGAGTCTGACCTCTCACTTTGCCAGCACGAGCCAAGGAACCATGGACTTTACCTCCAAGCATGCGGCCAACTACTTCCAGAGTGGTCAGGGGCTCTACCCCACACTCGACCAGGATAGCCTCATCTTCCAGGGGAGTGCCTCCCAGGAGCACAACCTGATCTTCAGGGGCGATGCCCTCCAACGACGCTACACGAGCCTTGATCTGCGAGACGGTCTCCTGGCTGGTCACCTCGAGGATGTGCAGCTCGCGGGCGCGAACAAAAAACTGCATGGCGGCAACTGTAACGCTAGCCAAGCTTCCGATTCCGCGAAGATGGAGCCGAAAAAGAGGAAGCCAGGTTTTGTCATCTGTGTAATGCAGATTGTTGATGAGTTTTCCCTCGATCCTGATGCCACATTCCTCTTCATAAAGTCCAGCCTCTTGAATGATTTGCTCTGTATTCAAATTGAACAGGAATGAAGAAAGGATATAGCCATGATGCACATCTTTTCTAATTTCAAACCATTCACTGTTCCCTTGCTCTGTTTGTACAGTAGGCTCTTGGTCTAGGTTTTTCTATTTGATTATTATTTTTTTTTTGCTGATAATTCTGATGCTTAATTGAATTCATTATCTGCTTTTACTCAAATTTGATTCCTAGTCTTTCTCTATATTTATACTTTTTCTCTTTTGAAGAAAAATCTTCACTGATAATATGTCAAATAATTTCTCAGCCTAATGCAAGGAGGCAGGAGTGGCATCCACTTCCTAATCAACATGCCTCTGGAGACTCTATGAACTTTGAGAAACAACAATATTTATAGAAAAGCTTCAGGCATTTTGTTAATAGAGTCACTATGAGTCGTGCTCAACTTGGCCCGCAATCAACAACAACAGTGTAACTGAAGGGAGCGCTGGTAGTCTAGTGGTAAGGAGCTGTGTAGCAACCCCAAGACCCGCAGTTCAAATCTACAAGCTGCTCCATGGGAGAAAGATTGTCCATTTCCTCCCGTGTAATCAACTGCTCTGAGAACCTGCCAGAGGGTCAGCTATGGGTCGATTCTCACTTGATACCCTAAGGTACATAATAACAACAACAATAAGAACATCAACAGTGTAACAAAGGGAGCTCTTATGTTCTAGTCTAAAAATCTGTGCTGCAATCCCAAAAGAGTGCAGTTCAAAGCTACCAGCTGTTCTATCAGAAAAGGGTGGTTAATCTCCTCCCATGCAATTCACTATTCATTGCCTCTCAAAACCTGCTAGAGAGAGGGTCAGCAGTGCATCAGTTCCCACTTGATAATACTAAACAACAATAACAACAACAACAACAACAACAACAGCGTAATGAAGAAAACTCTGGTGACACAATCCATAGAAAGTTAATGCTGCTAAGTAAAGGTAGTGCTTCTGTAGTGGTTCGAATCCCCCAACCACACTGCAGGAGAAATATGGGCAGTCTCTTTCCATACCATTTCAGCCTTCCAAAACTTGCTGGAGGGCCATCTCTGGGCAGGTTCTGACTTGATGGCAGCAAGGGTAAAAGTAGTAAAGTAACTGAAGTGAAAGGGGTGGAGATGCTGTGTGTCTGTCCACAGTCTGGCTGGCCCCTTTTATTGGAATAGATTATTTTTGTTTATAAAGTACATAAAGAAAATATATCTATGTACAAATATATGCACATTAGAAAAAGGAACATTTTGGCAATTCTAGATAGTTTTCTGTAATATTACTCCCAAACCAGAAAGCGGAAGTTTATGAAGTTTGATGGTAATATAGGCCTACTAGAAACAGGAACAATGAGCTTTTTATTCTTGGTTGCAGCTCGCATAATATTTCATATTGTCATCCTTTATCTGTGTGTGATTTTTAAAATGATTCTTATTTAAAGTTTACAGAGTAAATTGATTTTTCCATTCAGCATCCATGCAAATAGTTTGTCATGTACCTGTAATCTGTTTTTTTCCTTTTTCCCCATACCTCAGATTGCTTTGTGTTTCTACGTGATGAATCACAGTTAGTTATACATTCAGAAACTGGGAAAAATATTCTGGTGTTTTACTGAATAATGGAAAATGTTTTTACTTAGTACCAGATCTTTGTGTGATAGTGGATTGTAAAAGAGGTTCACTGTACTGTGTTTAATTTTTTCACATCATTTCTCTTTGTAGAAAAATTTGATCTACTTTGATACTAAGGTCAGTACTGAATGTACTGGTTTCTTATCTTAATTGACATCAATGATTGTAGCCAAAAGTACTTCCTTGGCATGACATCAAGGCAAATAAAGCTGGCCTCAACTACTAGGACACAGGACCAGATAATTTTGGTTTTTGTTATGTGCCTTCAAGTCATTTGCAACTCATAATGACCATATGTACAACAGCCCTGAAACCTGCTCTATTCTGTGCCAACTTTACTGTCTCTGACACACACCTACCCTCATTATTCCAGTCACTGAATCAATCCATCTTATCAATGATCTCCCTCTCTTTCTCTGTCCCTCAATGCTTCTAAGCGTGATGACCTTCTCCAAGGACTGGTCTGTCCTTGCAACATGCTCAAAATATGTCAGATGAAACCTCAGAATCCTTTCTTCCAAGGATCAGCCTGGTCTCACCCTCTCTAGGATGAATCTGTTTGTTCTCTTGGTAGTCCCTGGTATATTTAACTCTCTTCTCTAGCACCACAACTGAAAGGCATCAATTTTCTTTCTGTCATCCCTAGTCATAGTTCAGCTATCTGATGCATAGCAAGCAATTGTGAAGACCATGGCCTGGATCAGGCACATCTTACTCTCCAGACTGACATCATTGCACTTCAGGACTCTGGAGAGTTCCCTGACAGCTGATTTTACCGATGTAATTTGTCTCTTGATTTCCTCTGTGCTGGTACCAAGAGTGTTGATTGTGGAGCCAAGCAAACTGAAGCTATTAACATTCTCAGTCTCTTCACCATCTGTCATAATGTTTCCAACTGGCACAATGGTGAGAATCACTGTTTTCTTGATGTTGAGGTTCTGTCCATTTTGAAGGCTGCAGTCCTTGGTCTTCTGAAGTAAGTGCTTCCAATGCAATATAGCAATTAAAATTGTGAATGTAATTATCTCCTTTGTATTGGGAGCTCTGGTGGCCTAGTCAGTAGGATGTTGTGCTACCAAACCAAAAGCAGGTGGAGTTGGATCCACCACTTGCTCCCAGAGAGAAAAATGGAAATTATCCTCCCATGCACAGTTTATAGCCTCTGAAAATCCACTGGATGGTCAGGAATGAGCTAGTTCAGACTTATGACAATGAGTGGGTGAGTGTGAGTCCTCAGGGAGTTGCTGACCCAAAGGCTGCACCTCTTTGCCAATTTGAACCCACCAGTGACTCCATGGCTAAAGATGAGCAGTCTCCACTCATAAAAAACCCTTTATAGCATCAACTATGAGTGGATTCTGACGGCAATGACATGACTGACTTTGTGGTATAGGTACTGGTGTATTGACACAGTCTAGTTTGGATAATACAAGTTATTTGCTCTTGCTTTCACCTAGAGCTTTGGAACAGAGATTATACTCCTCACTTGCCTTTATGGTTAAGTTAGAAATAGAAAACTGTTATGTGAAAGTGGAGTATGACCACATCATCTCATCCCTTAGCTGGATTATGAATGCTCCAGTGGGCTTTTCTGAGGTCACCTGCCACTGCCACCTCCCCCACGTTGCCTCAGGAGAACTCGGTTCCTCCCTGTTGACTGTCTTCAGGGGAGGACTACTCAGTCTTGCAGAGCCAAGGTAGCCCATGCACTGCCCCCTCCCCATGTCTAGGGTCCATCTTCTCTCCAGCCTTCACCACATTTTCAAATTGAGGGATCCGGACTCTTCTCCTTAATGTCTAGGAAATGCTCTTAGTGACTGAGGGGTGTGTGTAGGGGGACAGTGGGGGTGGGGTGAGTGGTTTCAGAGGCTCCTTGTCTGTGAATCAAAAGGCTTAAGTGCTGTGCAGTAGAGGATAGATGCCCATTGCCTACTGGATCTGTAAGTGAGAAATAAGTGTATTTAATATTATATATTATTTTTGGATATATCTTTACTCCCCTTTGTACTAAAGGTTTTCCTCATCTTTTTTATTAGTTAATTTCAATCTGATGTTTTTGATATAGAGCTAGCAAGTCTATGATACGTTATCTAAGCTGGTTAAATACACATTGTTAAAAAAATATTTCTCAAATACACATTGAAATCTACCTTCTTCCCCATCTCTTTTATTTTATATTGATTTTCATGCAAAATTCATATACATTGTGTTTTACATAATCGTTCTTTCACATTGTTTCACATTCCCATACATTGTGTTTTATAAAATTAATTACCATCAATTTATGCCCACCGTTATCTGCCTTTTTAGGTCCCCAATGGATTGATCCTAATTCCTTCACCCTTTCCCTCTACCCACCAAACTCTCTGATTCCATGATTTCCCCCACTCCCTACCTTCAGACCCCTGGTCATTCCCCTTCACATTTTGGACATTTATACACATCTTACTAGTTATTTTTTCACTTTGCAATGATGGCCCTATGCAGTTTGCATCGTTATGAGACTGAGTTCACTCAGCATAGTTCACCAGCCTCTCCTATGTTATGTAGGTAGAGCATTGCTCCTAAGTGTTGCATAGTATTCCATTATGTGAATGTACCACAATTTCTCAGTCCATTAGTTTGTTGATGGTCATTTGGGCTGTTTCCATTTTCTTGACTATTGTGAATAATGCTGCTATGAACCCACATCATTGATTTGCAAATCTGTGTCTCCATTTTCATTTTTGTCAGCATATATTCCAAGCAGTGGAATAGCTGGGTGATATGGAATTTCTATCTTCAGCATTTTGAGGAAACATCATTTTGAGGGGTTGTACAATTTTATAATACCATAAATAATGTTTGAGAGTTCCAATCTCTCCACATTGTCTCCAATATTTTTTTGCCTGCTGTTCTGTTAAACTTTGCCACTGTTACTGGAGTGAGTTGGTATCTCACTGTGATTTTGATTTACATTTCTCTTATTGCCAGTGAAATCTGCTTTCTTAAATATTTTTCCAAATTAATAATAATGATGATGATGATGTTTTTTAAGATCATTGCTTACTCAAATTTCTTAAATATTTTTATGAGGCAAAATGGTGGTGAACTGAAATAGTTGTATGGGTTTGGAAGACATCAAAGATGCTTTATTATACAACTCTTAAGAGATACTAATACCATCATCTTTAGTGAAAATTTGAGGGATCTTTGCTATTAACCCAAAGGCCATCC